CACACAAACACCACAGGCTGTGGGGATGCTCAGGAACACTCACACAAACACCACAGAGAGCAGATGGAAGCAGGACACACCAATACCACAACATGGCATGCAACAGCTCCAGGGTGACAAATGACAAGGCTTTACACCCCACTGACAATACAGCACCTCAGAAAATGGCCAGAAACAGTGGGGAAGGCTCTGTGCTCAAGAAAACGGCTCTTCCCCTCTCACTTGCTTCTACAGTTAGTAATGAGCAAACAGAAGAAAATAAATGGGGTAAAGCAAACGTCTCCTCTTGAGAAAAAGTCCCAGAGTTATCAGAAGGAGCTGAGAGCAAAATATTCTTCCAATAGCAGTGATCACTGCTCATCATTGATCCTCCAGTGGAACAGAAGGGTATCCTTATGTTCACTTTGTTTAAAAAATAGAGTTGGCAGCAGATAAAGATCTACTTTAAAAAGCAATAATGTCCTCTAGTGCTTCATTGGGAAATATTCTGCACCCCAAACCTTGGTGGCACAGGGAGCCTGTGTTTTGTTTTCACCAAAAGTTGAAGGGTGAAATTTCATCTCAGAAGATAACCCAGCCCAGGGCTGATTGTGCATGTGCAGCAAGGCTGTGTTTGGTTGTTCTGGTTACCCTGGGCACCCCTACTCCAGGCACTCCCAGGCAGGTGAGGGTGAGCTGACTGAAAACAGGGGAAAGGGTGCCCAGAGGGTTTGCAGAGAGAGCAAAGCTCACCCAGCCTGTCCCAGCACCTGGGAGTGGGCACAGCCTGAGACACACAGCACTGCAAAGGCGCTCAAAGCAGTTCTGCCTGAAAGCAGCACTGCCCTGGGCTGGAGAGAAGGGCCTTCTGGGGAGATGGACAGCTGGGGGATGCAAAGAGGGACTGGGAAGAGGGGAGGAAGCCAGGAATTGGGAATAGAAAAGGATCTCTCCATACCTCCCTCCCAAAAGAATGGATGAGCATTGGTCAGACTACTGAAAATATTAAAATTCCATTTAAACTGTTACTTGCCTTGTTATTTTTATTGCTGTAAATGAACTGCAGAAGCAAATCTCAGTGGTAGTGATTTCAGTCCCTTTTCTACTATATTTCCTTTTTTTTTTCCTCCCTCTATATATGACTTTATAAACAGGAGATCTATACAAAATACTCAGTACATAACAGCAATTAAGTTTCTAAAAACTTCCCAGAAGCTTTAATGCTGAAGCACAATTAAATCATCTGTCAGCCAGCAGCATTTAAAAGTCACACAGAGGCAGGAGTTTGGAAAAACTCCAGGAAAGCTGCTCACTCTCCTCTCATCCCCAGTAACACACCCTCGTGCTCTCAAAAACCCATAACACTTACAGCTTCTGCAGCATGCCTTGGAGGTTACTTGAAAATAATTTAAGCTAAAGAGTCTCATGAAGAGCTGCTGCGCCAAGTGACTCCCCTCTCCTATGTAATGGCAATAACCTTTTGATATTGCCAGCATCAGACACCACTGCTAATTGCAGGGCTGGCCAGCAGCCAAGGGACAGAAATGATCCCTGCAGGAGGCACATCCTGGGTCCTTTTGTGCCTTTCAAATTATGGCCAAAACTTTAAACTCTGCTGGGAGGCCAAAAGACCTCCAACACAGACCAAAGGCACTGCTTTCAGTCACCAGAATAAATGTCCTCCCCTAGAAAAAACACTGGAGTAATTCATCCCAGCTCTGGTCCTGATCCAAAGGGGCCCACCACAGGATTTCCAACTGCAAAATGCATTTTGTCAATATGGATGCAGTCAACAAGATGCATTTCTTTCCAATATTACCTATACACTTCCCCAGTACTACCTATATTTGCCTATATACACAGAATTGAGAGCACAGCAACTCAATCTTAATTTTTCAATCAGTTACTGGAGGTAGGGGGCTCTTACAAATGCTGGCAGCTTTTCTTCACAAGTTTGGGCTTCAAGGAACTACACTTTAAATGAAAACAATTAGAGATCGATTTTAAAATGAAGATAAAACAGTAATTTACCTGACAATGAAGAGTGACACTAAAAAATCCAAAGCTGGATGTCTCACAGCAGTAAGATTAAGCCTTGTCAATAGATAGGAACTGAGGCCCCAAATATGTAACCCCAATTATGTAATCAAGCTGCTATCCTTCTCTCTCTCTCTTTTCTTTTTGAATACCCTTTCTACAAGTAATTCAGATGAATTTGAATACCCTTTCTACAAGTAATTCAGGTTTAGTGAAGCGTAAGGTACATGTTCTATGCTGAAAAATAAAATTATATTCTAAATTTGATATATAGGCAACTTACAGCTTCGATCTTCAGACTGAAGTATCCAATAAACAAACATGTATATATATATACAAACATATATAACACGGAACTATAACTAGTGAAACAATTTTAGATGGAGAGATTTTTTTTTTGGTAATGCACCTAAAAATGTCACATAGTGAGGCTGGCAGCTTCCCATGTTGAGGATGACAATAACCTGCTGGTACAACACCTACTGGGATGTGTTTGCTTTCCATGGGTGTGCTCTTGTCAAATCCACATACTGCATTTATTGCTGGAATTGCAAATGAGGCAGTTTTCTATAACTTACTGTGCTTTAGGAACAGAAAAGAGCCAAGCCCACACTGTTTATTGAACTACTTCACACACTCATGATGCTTTTAAGAAATACTAAATACTTCTGCCAACAACTGCATTCTGGAAATACAGCAATAAAAATATTTCCTCCTATTCTGCACACATGGTATTTTAAAAATCATATACAAACTCTTAAAATATCCTCTTAGCTCTTAGTTGTGTAACAGATTGAAATACTGCTGCTGAGGAGGACGAAATCCCTGTTTATAAACACCTACTTCAGTTTTTCTACTCTTCTAGAAGAACTAGTAGATGGATTTAGCTGTGGCTACAGGTGAAATAACTGCAATGCAATTCTGGGTGTATTCAGTGTAATGCCAGCACAAACAGCACAAACCACACAGGACTCACAGCAGCACACAGGCAGGCACAGGGAAGCAGCAGGGGCAGCTGCAGGGCCGGGGCGCAGAGAGCAGGGCAGCACAGGGGCCCTGGAGGTGCCCCGGGGGGATCAGCAGCTCAGAAGCACACAGGGGCACGGGCATGCAATGGGGAGCTGGAGCAAGCCACTGCAGACACACTGGGGTGGGAGTTAATGTATGAAAAAGCTTACTTCATTTAGAAAGCTCACTAATTGGTCTACCGTTAAATAATCAGTTTTGTCTCCATTGCTGAAAAGGAATTTATTAGAGAATGTGAGTTATTGTACACGATGCTACAGTAGGTATGATTTACATGTTGACATTGCTGACACTTAAAAACCACCTGCTATTTTCTACCTGAATGTAGCTGCATATTCTCAACATGAACAGGCACAGAAAACATGCTGTCTATCAGTACCTCCCACAACATATCTGCCTATCCCTGAACAACACCACATCATAAAACAACATGTAAGTCCTCCAGCTGAGAACAAATTTAGTGAAGAAATTTTTCAAACTTCAAATTTCTTACTTAATTTAATTAGTTCACATACTGTGTTAATCACCTAAAGGAGCAAGTTAAAATTACAGTAGTTAGTAAAGCCAATGCAAAAAAAAAAGTTCCAGGTGCCTCCTTTAACTCATGTAAAAGTTGCTTTGAAATACAGAGTGAACTTTTACATTAACAGTCTGAGAAGGGAGGAAGGGGTAAAACACAGACTGGAGCTTGTTCTAAAGTATTGCTGATGCTACTAGGACTCAAGGGTAGATAAATTTTACAGTGTTCTGTCGCTATTAGTTATGGACTAAAAATACACAAAATGTCTCTAAAGCAAGATTATATGAAATTTGAACTTACATCTTCTTAAAGAGGTCCTCTATGTCAGTTCGGGGACATATCTTTTGGGTAAGCTCATAAAATTTCTCATAAGTAAAAGCTGCAGGCTCAATTTCATCATTCTGCAATGAAATACAAAGGTACATTTACCCAGACAAGAGAGCTTATGGGCTCTTTTCCCAAGAGAATACCTTATATCAGAAAAAAGCAACTGAGAAATGGTTTAGCTCCTTCCCAAGTTTAAATTTACTCAATTTCTTTTGTACTCAAAGTAATTCTGAGTTCATTTTTATTGTAGATTCGTTAGATGTGCTTGTATTCTACCCTCAGTAACTGCTAACAATAATTCTACATAAACAGAGAGCTGGAAAACAACCTGTTTCTCTTCTGAAGCTTAAAAAAAACCAAAAACCAACCCAAACCCAAAACGTTCAAGCCATCCCCTATCTGGGCTCCCACTGCAAGTGGGACAGAGCTGGAGAGCAGCTCTGCAGAGGAGGGGAGCCAAGGGCAGGAGGAGTCCCAGAAACTCAACAAAACAATCTATTACACGCATATTTTGTGCTCATATACTTAGCATTAATGAACAAAAGGTGGTTTGCGACAGCAAAGAAGGGAAGCCTCCTCTAGGAGGTTTAAGGACCTCTGTGTCATACAGATTTAATTACATTTTGGCTCTAGTAAACAACCTCCAGCGATTAGCAAGTCACACGCAATAGGCACGCTTTTTGTGATGCAAATATCTTCGATTACAGCTACAAATGTGAATGAGTCATTCCCTTATTAGTACACAAAAGCACTTATTCACAGCCACTAAGTACCTTTCCGCTGGGAAGCCCCAATTCCTTCAGTGCCTGAAAGATCACTTTTTCCGTTTTACCTGATGCAAAGGTTCTGGTTATGCTAAAACAAAAAACAGTGGAGAGAAAAAAAGAAACAGAGAAATGTCAGTCATTTTTAAACAATCATCTCTCACTGCCAGCACTTTCCTCTGGCTCCGGCTGATGAATGGAAGCAGCTCCAAGCAGGAGTGCAGTGGGAGGATGCTCTGAGCTGGAGGGAGCAGCCCTGCTCTGCCTGCGAGCCATCGGAAATACAGAGAATAATGAACTGCAAACAGAACAAAAGAGGGGCTTTTCCCCCCGGGCACTGGGGCACAGAGCCCTGCAAAGCACTCTTGTGTTTGCTCTTTTCAGCTGGTACAAGTGACTGCTCACACAGCAGCACATTCTGCAAGGGAGGAGATTCCCTGGGTCATTCCCGGCTGGGTGCCTTCCCTTCCATGCCAGGCATTAAAGTGTATTTGTGCTGCCTTCCCTTCCATGCCAGGCACTGCACTGAGGCTGTGCTGCCTTCCCTTCCA